AAAAAAAAAAAAAAAAAAAAAAAAAAAAAAAAAAAAAATCAAGCAAGTTATATGCTTAAAAAAAGACAACGATAATGGGGAGCTGGAGAGGTGGGTTAGTAGTTAAGAACATTTGCTACTCTTCCAGAGGGCTGGAGTTAGCTTCCCAGCTCCCACGTGGCAGCTGACAACCTTCTGTTTCTCAGGTTCCAGAGGATCCAATGTGGATACCATGCAAATGATACAAAGAAATACATGATAGTCAAAACATCTTTACACATAAAATAAAAATTTTTAAAAATGAATGAAAACAAGTATAGATATTCTCATTCAAAAAGGGATTAGTGAGAAAGAAAAGGGCAATAATAGGTCCTGGCTATATAAATGTAGGACAAATATAAAATCATGAGGCAGAGAATCTTTGAGTCCATGGTTCGTCTTCTATACACTCTTGGGTGGAGGTTGGGTCCTCAAGGCTCTAGGTAATCCTGGATCCATTTTTCTACCTGCATTTTTGTATCTCCTGATTTGGATGACATGCCTTTGATTCTCCAGGCTAAAGTTACACACTGTTCACTTTACCATTCTGGGGTCTAAGCATATCCTATACCCTGACTACCCCACAAAACAGTGCCCTTGTAGAGCAGTCTAAAGTGACCCAAACCCCATTACCCTGGTGGAGACTTCAGTGTACAGCTTCCACAATTCTAAATAGTATGTAGATACTCCATTTGTTATTTAAAAGAAGATCTAACATTCACCAAAATGTTAATATATACAAATATTTTGTATTTGCCATTTTTTTCAATCATTCCAGTAAAGATTATTTATTTATTTATGAGATGGGGTCTCACTATGTAGGCCTGGCTGTCCAGGAACTCACTATGTAGAGACCAAACTGGTCCTTGAACTCAGAGATCTGCCTGCCTCTGTCTGCTTCCCCAGTTTTAGGATCAAAGGTCTTCACTGTCATACCAGACTTTTTTGGTTTTTCGAGACAGGGTTTCTCTGTGTTGCTTTGGCTGTCCTGAACTCGCTTTGTAGACCAGGCTGGCCTTCAACTCACAGTGATCCGCCTGCCTCTGCCTCCCAGAGTGTTGGGATTATAGGTGTGCACCACTACATCAAGTTTTATTTTCATTTCTAACAGAATCCAAGGTTTTAAAGGGGGATGACCAAAATTGGATTGTAAAATGTATTAGTCAGGGTTCTTTAGAATAACAGAACTTATAGAATGAATACATAGAATGACTTATAGGCTAATACAACAGTGGCTGCCTATGACAGAAGGTTCAAGAATCCATAGTTGTTCAGTTCATGAGGCAAGATGTCTCACCTGGTCTTCAGTAAACACTGGAATCCCTTAGAAGTAGGCTCTATTGCCAGTGAAGGAGTGGACTTGATAGTGAGGTGAGAGCAAGCAGACAAAGAGCAAAAGCATCCTCCTTCCATGACCTTATATAAGCTTCCAGCAGAATGTGTAGCCCAGATTTAGAGATGGGTCTTCCCACCTCAGAGATCCAGATTAGAAGTGGATCTTGCCACTTCATATTAAGCAAAAATCACTCACATATGCACCCTTTCATTTTTGTTAATTCCAGTATGGTCAATATCAATCACAAGTTTATCCCTTGTTACACAATCATATCTCCTTATATCATGATTAATTTTTAAATTAAAACAAAAACCAGGTCATAATTATGCCTAAACACACAAAATAACAAATATACTATATATTTAACCAGGTCTAACACCAAACATGATATAACTATCCCTAATACAACCAACCACAAATGCATTATAAATTAGAATAGGTGGAGATGTTTCTTGAGGGGTGTTCTTTTAGTATCTCGAAGTTAAATAGGATAACAATTGATAAATTCTCTTAATTGATGTTATAAATATAGTAAAGAAATTGAGTAAAAAAATCAAATATCTGCAAATACATTTACAAAATATAACAGAAGCATTCATGCCAACTATAAATCTCATGTCTACAGCTGATCACATGGCCTTAGCTGGTATTTATAAGTACCTTCCTTTACCACCCATTCTGTATTTCCTCCTCTTTTGGCAAGCACCTCAGCAGGTCTTGCCTCTTTTCCTAAAAGAGTGCCCCATACCTTCATTCCTGAAGGGGCTGTTGTAGTTTCCCATTGATTCTAATCACAGGACATGGTAGCACTAAGAGCTATTCGAAAGGATCTCCTGTATTCCAGATAATGATTTTACCTCCCTTGTGGAGAAGCAGTCTGGTTTCCCCATGGTAATCTGGATCAGTCACCCTGTCTAACATTGTTATTCCTTCTTAGCAAGGGCATCAGAAGCCCACAGTGGTCCAGGAGAAGTCTGAACTTCTAGTTGAATGGAGTGTTTGTTATGACTCCTGGCAGGAGTGCTCCCTCCCCCGCAGAAGCAAAACTTTAAAAACAGTTTTTCATAGCTTGCCATTGACCATGCTGAGAAATGGAGGACAGTACTAGCAATAGATAATCAAACTGAAATCTGATTTGCCCAGCTCAATATATCCTAGTTAAATCCTAGTATCTGGTGGGAGGTGGGGAGCTTATTAAATTAGTACACAAAGAAAGGTTGAAGAAAGAGCTACACGTCAGCCAAGATAGATGATCTTGTACATTAAAAAATGAAAGTAAAATTGACAGTTTACTAAAGTTTTTGATGGGTTTTAAAAATAGATTGCGTATAAATTATTAGCTTTTATCTAAACTACTGTATATTGAAATAAGTAATATTTATATCCTTCATGAGCTGTGGCATTCCCTGTTGTGAACATTTTTATGCAAGGAGAGCCTTCAATAAAGCTCTCATATGTATTAATCTTGGAGCAGTTTTAAATGTTTTTAACTTGAGACTATGTTTTATCCACTCAACATTTATTAAATTTCCTAGTAAAAATCATTGGAAGAAAGCCATAGTACTTTTTCAGAATATTGGGATTAATTCTTGAAAATGAGAGAAATAATATTTGGCCAGTGTAGAATATTATAGCTGACTTAAGGATGTTTGAAGTTTTCCCCCAATATAGGAAGCAAACATCTTAAAAAATATGAAAAATTAGAACATCCAATGCTGCAACAGGAAAAAAATTCAATTAACAGAATACTATCTTAATATTTATGAAACTCATGAAAACTTGAACAGCTGTATGTCCAAAATTATTGAAAATATGGTATCTTTGTTTTGAAGAGGGTGGACTAAAATTTTTCTTTAATAAAAGAATAAGCTTTTTTAATTAATTTTTATTTCCTGTATATGAATGTTTTGCCCGCATGTATGTCATAAGTCACATGCGGTCCTGATGCCTACAGAGGCCAGAAGAGGGCATTGCATCCCCTGGAGCTAATGATAGAGAAGGTTACGAATTTCCATGTGAATGCTGGGAAACTGACTCAGGTCCTCTGCAAGAACAGCATTTGCTCTTAACTGTTGATCCAGCTCTCCAGCTTCAGAATAATTCTTAAGATGAGGCTTTTGCTTTGTTTATGATAGTCTACAGTATGTTTGGATGACCATTTTTGATAAATTGATTATATGTATTATTATATATTTGATCTCCATGGTGCTGTTTTGTTTGCTGTTGAACACTAAGAAAGAATATACAACCCTTTATGACACAAATACCTATATACCTGTTTACTTCTTAGATTCTGATAGACCACTTGTTTTGCTAGTCTTTGGAATTAAAAGGAATGTCAAGTACACAGAAGCCAGAGTCATCTTGGCCAGATGGTGTTTGATACAGATGGATGGTTAGTTGTCATGCAGATCTCCTAGTTGGTAACTTGTTGCTGCCATCTGACTCAAAGAATCATTCACACACACTGGCTGTCAAAAGCATCTTCTCTTCTGTCTGTTTTAGCTGTCATGTCTGTGCTCTGTACAGAAGTGTTGACAAGACATTACTGTTGTACATTTCCAATGTGGTTGTTAGTGAGTTTTCTGTTTGTGGGGTCTTTGATAGTACTGGAATGCACTTGCTTGTAATTGCACTATATTTTAAAATACTGTGACTGTGCATCAATTTTATGATCTTTAAAAAACAATTTGAATGAACAAATAGCATAAAATTGTTTTTTGTTCATGCTATTTGTTCATTTACAGTGAACATAATCATTTGAGTTTTTAAGAAAAATACATTTAAGTAAACTTGTTTTATTTAGTTTTAAGCATAAAAGCAAGACCATTTATCCCTCCATTATTTCAGGTCGTATTTGAAGGCATATCCATTTCTCAGGTATTTAATTAGCTTGCTATTCAATTAATATATACTGAACATTTCAGTATGTGCCAGACACTCTGTGACACTAGAGATTACAGTAACAGTCTCTGTCCATCAGACATGTAGACAAACTAGAATACCATAAATAAACTAGAAGCCCAGGAGAACATGGACCATAGCTCTGTTATTTGCCCAGCTACACATTCAGCATATTGATTTTTTTTTTATTTAAAAAGTTTTGCCTTGGCTTTATAATACATTATCTTCTGAGTAAAGAAATAGTTTAAGACTTCTCTGTGAAGTAACCAGTGATTTATTAACTTTTCCAGCTATTGAATGCATTTCAGCTTTATTATAATATGTTATAAGCAGATGTGCTGAAGTGTGTTTTTAAGCTACAAAGAAGATGAAAATTAATTGGCAGAAGTGTTCTGAGTTGGTTCCAAATGAACATACATGGTCTTTTGGTTTCTTCACTGGAGTTGGGGAGTGTGCATAATAGATGAAGAATGGGCTGAGACGTGAATAATTTAGACACTTATTCTCAGCCTATCAATAATTTGCTAGCTTTTCTTTTATTTGGTTGCTTGCTCACTGAACAACAGGATTTATGCACCTATCCAGATACACTGAAGAAAAATGGGTAATTATTGAAATTACTTATGTTTATGAAGATTTTTGAGTACTTTGAAATAAAAATGTCCTAAATGCATAAAGTACATATGGAAGACCATAATATATTGCTGATACTTTCACCTTAGAGAATGTTGGTAGCCCAGATAAGTTTAAAGTATTCCAAGTTAGCTATAATGTTTGAATTCTTCTTGTAGTCAGTTTACCCACTCATTCTAGCAGCTTGGATGCCAGTGTATGTACGAATAAGATGTTTTCCTCTGAGAAGTATGGCTCTGTATTATACTTGAATATCTAGTGTTCAGTATCTGGGCTTGAATTCTGTAAGACTGAGACTCATCTGTTTATAATAATCAACATATATTTAACATCATTTGTGTGGTTCTGTGGAGAATGTCAAGTTATGTAAGACTGCCCCCAGGCAATATACAAAACTTACTTGCCAGTTGGGTTACTTACCTGTTCTCTCCGTTACTTTTGTTTTAAGTGCCCTATGTGTAAAAATCCACCTTTTTTTAAGGCAAATGTAGTATTTTTCTTTAATTTCTCTTAAATTTATATTTGAGACTTAAGGCATAAATCTTTGATTTATAAAGAACGTTAGGATTATTTGGGATCTGAAAATAATTCAACATCATTAATTGTGAACTTTGGAATTGGTTGATTAAAAAAATCAAACATCTAGTATATACCAGATCTTGCTATAATTATTAAGGCTCTTTTCATATTTTAAGGAATTTATATTTAGTCATTTGTTCTTCCAATGGTAGAAAGTGGCAAAGACTTTCATATTATGCATTCTTTCTTAATATAGCTTTTAAGAATACTCATTAGGTAATTGTGATACATTTTCAGATTTTTCTTGAAGGTTTGTACATCTGTATGTCAATATTACTAATGCATATGTCAATTTTGTTGCTTAGTTTTCACAGCAATTATAATAAAATAAGCAGATGGGTGGAATAAAAGTATGAGAGGATTATGCCTCTTAAAATCTATATAATATCTTTATATAATAAAAATTAACCCTGGTATTCTTGTTTCTGGCCACATTACCTTTAGAATTTGTATTTATTCTTTTGACTTTCATAATCTTTACTATGGCTACTTGGTTTATGGTTTTGTACTATAAAAGTTAATTTCAGTGTCTATTTAAAATTCGTAAAATTTTGTTTTAAGACTAGTGTGTATTTTTAAAGCATAACTTTAGTGCAGCTACTTAATTGTTCATGCTTTTTTATTGCAAGTATTAAATTTTAAATTATAATTCTTGTCTTTACTGAGAGACCAAGAAACCATACTATCAAACTCTTGACTGGAATTTCTTTAAATAAGATAATTTTTAAAGTTGTTTAGTGCTGTAATGGTTTAAGTTACTGATACTATAATGATCACAAGTAAATTCCTGGAGCCAATCAGTAACTCATGAATAGATTTTTCAGTTACCTGGGTGGAACATGCAGCTCTTGTACTTATTAATACACAGTAAATGCATCTGTCAGTGAATTTCAGGCAGTTTTTTTTTTGTTTTGTTTTGTTTTGTTTTGTTTTTTTGTCAGCAGACTGAGAACTATGAACAAAGAATTCGCGAGCAACAAGAACAGCTCTCATTTCAACAAACTCTTATTGACAAGCTAAGATCACAGCTACTTCTTATGGAGTCTAGTCGAGGTATTTCTTTCTCTTTCCTTTCTTTCTTTTTTAAATGTATTTCTGGAACGTTTTAGAGAAAAGGTAAATTTTGAATTTTTTTCTTGTTTGTTTTTTTAATTAGTTCTGATGCAAAAACCATAGTACAGCTTTACATTATGTTTATTTAATTTAAACTTTAGGGCATGCGGAAGTAAGTTCTGTAGGCTGAAACACTAAATTGATAAAACTTCCTTGAAAGCATTTTGCCAATGAATACCAACAAGCTTCTTTTAAAAGTTTGTGCCTTTGAGTTGAAAACAGAAGCTCTAAGAATATATAAGACAATTTGTGCAAATACTAGAAGATGCACATACGTTATACATTACAATAGATTTCTTGAGAAGAGAAATCAAAGATCCGCGCATTTAGATAGCTGAACGTGGACTGAGCCCAAGAAGGTGCAGAAGCTTTGTGCCCTTTCCATATTCCTTGCCCTGGGCATCTCTCTCAGCAAATGTCCTTTGAAACAACCAGTAAATAATCCAAAAAGATACAGTGTCCAGAAGTTAAGTTACCATGAGCGGTTGTATAGCCATGATAAGCAGCAATGATATGTTCATGATGTTCAGCGAAATACAAAAATAAATTAGTTATTTCATGTGTACAGAAAAAAACATTCTTGTTTAAATTTATATGCAGAAGAGAAAAACATAGAAGAGGAAGACAGCCAGTCCTGATGAGACCTGATAAGCTAGGGTCAGAAGGAAGGGAGGAGGACCTCCCCTATCTTGAAGAGAGGCATGGGAGGAGATGAGAGAGGGTAGGTGGGGTTGGGAGGGTACGAGGGAAAGGGCCTATAGCTGGGACATAAAGTGAATAAACTGTAATTAATAAAAATAAGTAAAGTTTAAAAAAGAAAAACAAAGAATATAAACCACAGTGTTAATAAGAATAATTCACAAGTCATGAAAATTTAGATAGGTTTTTTTTAGAGTTTATTTTATGTTTATGGACGCTTTGCCTACATATATGACTACACCATGTGTGTGCCTGGTTTCCACCAAGGTCCATAAATATATTGGATCCCCTGAACCTGAGAATAGATGGTCATGAGCCACCATGGGGCTCTAGTAATCAAACCCATGTCTTCTGGAAAAATCAGCAAGTACTCTTAACCATAGAGCCATCTCTTCAGCCTCCAGCTTTTTTTTTTTTTCCATATTTTTGTCATTACTACATTTTCTAATTTTCTATAAGCATGGAGTTTTTTTTAAGTAATTATCTTAGACAAATATCCGTACTTGCAATGGCCATATGAAAGTTTAATAGACTTGGAGATGTAGCCAGGGTGGGGCACTTAGCTAGTGCGTCCCCAGCGCTATCCTTCCTCTAAAACAGCCGTAAAGTTTACCTGTTGATACAGTAAAATGCAAGAAGCAGAATTCAAGTTTTCTGAATTCTCATAGGAAAATAAGTGTTCAGTGGGAAGGAAAATCTCTATAAATGGGCAACTTGCCAAAGTAAATATTACATAAATATTGTAAAACTAGATCTTACAGTTCATTCTTTTGAAATTACTGAGATTTGTTTTTCTGTGGTTGGTTGGTTTTTTTGGTTGTTTGGCTTTTCATTGTTGTTGTTTGGTTGGTTTTTTGGTTTTTTGAGACAGAGTTTCTCCATGTAGCCTTGGCTGTCCTGGACTTGCTTTGTAGACCAGGCTGTCCTCAAACTCACAGAGATCTGCCTGTCTCTGCCTTCGTAGTGCTGGGATTAAAAGCTGGTTAGCTAGGCCACAGAGGAGGACATTGCAGCCAGTCCTGAAGATACCTGATAAGCTAGGGTCAGATGGAAGGGGAGGAGAACCTCCCCTAGAAGTGGACTTGGAAAGGGACAGGGTGGAGACGAAGGAGGGAGGGTAGGATTGGGAGGGAATGAGGGAGGGGGCTACAGCTGGGATACGAAGTAAATAACCTGTGATTAATATTTAAAAAATAAAAATAAAATAATTTTAAAAGCTGGTGTCACCACAGCCAGCTTCATTTTTATTATAATTATTTTTCCAGGGCTTTCTGCTAATTCACAAGGGTTTTGTCTTGCAGATAATAGTTATGGCTATGTACCTTTGCTTGAAGATGGTGAAAAAAGGAAGAATAATTTGACCCTTGATGAACCACATGATAAAGTGAAACTAGGAACACTGAGAGATAAGCAATCAAAGGTAGGAAGTACTGTCAGATTCATGTTTAAGGGGTTAGGCTTCACAGAGTTATACATTATTTAGTCTATCTGATCTCATAATTTGAGTGGGTAGATCATAGGAAGAAAGTAGACAATTTTTTTTTTTTACCTCTAACATTGCTTCTGCAGAAAATAGAATTTAAATGCAGATATGCAATATATCTTCTTCATTTCATCTCTCTGAGGCAATGATGCACCATTGAAACTTTTTAGGGAGATTTTTAAAATTAATTTTATGTGTATGTGTGCGCACCATATACATGCAGTGCCTTCAGAGGGCAGAAGAGGCGTCAGGTCTCCTGGAACTACTTACAGGCAGTTGTGAGCCACCGTGTGGGTGCTGGGAATTAAACCCAGTTTCCCTGCGAAAGTAGGAGTGCTCTTAACCACTGAGCTCTCTCTCTCTAGTCCTGTTTTTATTTTTAATTATGTGTATGTGTGTATCTGTATGTGAATATATGCAGATACCCATGGACGCCAGACACATTAAATCTCCTTGGCCAGGGGTTACAGTTGCTTGTGAACAGAGTAAGTGCTAGGAACCAAACACAAATCCTCTGCAAGAACACACTATTAACTAATGAGCCTTCTCTCTTCAGTCCCCTACCACTAGAATTCCAAACAAAGTTCTGTATCTGCAAAAGTGACATATTTTCCTAAATACTTACATTTAAAATAAAGCTTAAGCTTCATATGTCCTAATGTTTTTTAAAGATTTGTTTGTGTATGTCTGTATGTTAGTATGCTGTTTGTGTGTACAGATGCATGTGCCTATTACAGGCTTTCAGAGCTAGAAGAGAGAATCAAGTATCCTCTGATAATTACTACTCTACCTGTTCATTTGAGGCAGGATCTTTTTAAGGTTTGTTTATGAGTTTTATATGTGTGAATGTTTTACCTGCATGCTTGCATATGCACCACATGCATGCCTAGTACCCATGGAAGTTGGAAGCGATCAGAAGAGTCCCTGAACTGGAGTCAAGGATGGTTAGGAATCACTGTGTAGGTGCTGGGAATCCATCTTGGGTCCTCTGAAAGAGCAAGAAATGATCATAACCAGCGCACCATCTCCCCTGCCCCAGAGACACAGTCTTTCTCTAAATCAAAACTTTTACATTTTCCTCTAGATTGAAAGCCAGCAAGCACCAGCAATCTTACCCACACCTCTCTTGGTGCTGGGGTTATAGATGGCCACAGGCACTCTGCTTGTTACTTGAGTGCTAGGATCAGACTTCACTCCTCATGATTGCACACCAGAGCTATGCTGAGCCATCTCTCCAGGCTCCCTAGTGGTTCTCCATCCCCTCAAAAGCATTTAATAAAATTGAGTTTTAAAAAGTAGTAAAGCTTTACTGTGAGTTAGATAGTAAGACAAATGATTCTGGGTTTAAATTGTTTTCTATTTTCTTCCTTCAATTTCCTTTGCTTGTCCAGCTTATCTCCAAAGAATTAATAATGCTGCACCAATTATACTGTATTTGTGGACAGACCATGGAAAAGATCTAAAGAAATATGGTCTGGATAAGGAAATAATAAAACTTCTGTCATTTGTCGCCATTATCCTTGCTAATAATACAAGAGATATTTATGTCTGCATTATATATATTATATATAATATATATACACATATACAAATACAACTTTGAGTCCATTTTTGTAGTTTGTGTACATATAGTTATGGTACAACCAATAAGGGAACTTCCCCCTGGGAGAAGCTAATGATCCCTCTCTCAATAGTCATTAGTTGCCTATAGTTCTTTGTCTAGGGGTGGGACTCCACAGAATTTTTTCTCCCAAGTTAACAAGTCCATTGATACTGCTATTGTTCTGGTCTTGTTTATGCAGCCATTTTAGGAGAGTTGCTTCACAGTTGAATTTCTGGTATTCTGACTCTTAGAGTTTTCTTACCAACTTCCTGGTATTCTGGTTCTTAAAATTTTCCACCCTGTCTTCCATTATGTTTCCATAAATACAGGAACAGTGATGTAGATGTATCTATTGGGACTGGGATCCCCACCATCTGTTGATGTCTGTATGGGGTCCAGTATGGTTTTCTGTGATGGTCTCCATTTGCTGTATGGAAGATTCTTTGACTTGGGGTGGTGGCTACACTTAAATGTAGGTATACAGATAAGATAATGTAGTAAGGAACTAATCTAAGAACATAGTGATAATAGATTGTTTTCTAAGGTCCATGACCTCACTAGCCCAGGAAGCTGGCTACATTTCCAATACCGGGCATTATCTCCCTCCTGTTGAGCGGGCCTTACGTCCTGTTAGACAACTGTTGATTGCCACTGACTGCACCTTCATGTGTATCTTGCCATGCTGGCAATTGTCATGGCTCATAAGTATTACAGCTGTTTAATTGCATCACTCCTCTGCATCTTATGTGGAAGCTAAACTGCAGGAAAGAGGCTTTCAAGTCAGATCCAGCTCTAATCCTTAAAGTCCTATGTCCCAATTGTGAGGCGTTTTTTAACATGGGGACCCACCTTCAAATCCCGAGAGAGAACCACGGTCTTTATCTATATTGTTTGGGAGTCGCTGGACTATCCTGACCAACTTTTCAAAAAAGAGGGTTTTCTATAGTCACTGTTTGGGGTTTTGTTAGTGTGTGGTGCTTGAGGGAAGCATTGTCAGCATAAGTGCTTTAACTCCTTCAGTATGTATGGCTTATATATGGATATAGGTATATATGTGCACATGTACTGATATACCATGTATAATTTTAAGTAAAGATGAAGTAATACAATTCCTTAATGCTTTTTCAAGCAATTTTGGTGTTCTTGTCCCATGTCTCCTCCTTCCTATGCAGTTAGAGGCCCCCTCCCTGTAATTTCTTTTCCCAGTTCATATCACCGATAGCCTGCTATTCCCTCTCTCCACACACACACAATGATCCTTTGTCCTTTTTGGTTTTTGTGGTCACTCTATGTTTAGTCTCCCTTCTGAGGACTTGATGCTCAGATCCAAAGATGAAAGAGAACATGTGACATTTGTTTTTCTGGGTCTGGGTTCTCTCACTCAGTATAATCTTTTCTAGGTCTAACCATTTACCTGAAACTTCCATTTTTTTTTCTTACAGCTGAAAAGTACTCATCCATTTTTTTGTTGAAGGCCACTTAGGTTGTTTCCATTTTCCTGTTATTGTGAATAGGATGGCTATGAACATTGCTGAGCAAGTATCTGTGGAGTGAGATACCAAGCCCTTTGGGATTATGCCAAGGAGTAGTATACCAGATCACATACTAGATATAATTTTAGTTCTTTGAAGATTCTCCATACTGGTTTCCAGAATGGCCAAACCGATTTGTAATCCTACCAACAGTGAATGAGGGTTCTTCTTCCTCTAAAACGTTGCCTGTATTTGTTGGCAGTTGATTTGTTGGTCTTAGCTATTGTGACTTAGGGTGAGATGAAATCTCAAAGTAGTTTTCATGTGCAGTTCCCTGACTGCCAAGAATGATGAACAGTTCTTGAAGTATTAGCCATTTTTTTTTTCCATTGAGAACTCTTTTTAGAGCTCTAGCCCATTTTTCAATGGGTTCATTTGTTTTCTTGGCTCTTTGCTCTTTAGTTCTTTGAGTGTTCTGGATATTAATGCTCTGCCAGGTGTAGGCTGGCAAAAAGTCTCTCCCATTCTGTGAACTTTTTCCTTTTCTGCTTGACTGTTTTCTTAGTTGTACAGAGCTTTTTAGTTTTGTGAGGTTCTAGTTGTCAATTATTGGCCTTATTCCTGGGCAAGTATAGTCCTATTCAGAAAGTCCTTTTCTACTCCTATATCTTGTAGGTACTGACTGTGCTTTCTTCTAGAAGTTTTAGTGTTTCAGGTTTCACATTTGAAGTCTTTGATCTACTTGGATTTTTATTTTTAGGGTGATAGATACAGGTCTAATTTCATTCTTTTCAGCCTGTAGACATCAGTTTTCCCAGCACCATTTGTTAAAGATACTGTCTTTTCTTGTGTGTGTTTTTCGACTTGTTAAATATCAGATGGTTATAGTTATAGTACTTATGTTTGGGTCTTCTGTTCTATTGGTCTTCATGTCTGTTTTTGTGCCAGCATCATATTGTTTTTATTACTGTAGCTCTATAATGTGTTTTTAAGGATAATTTTAATTTATTACATTTTTGAGAGCCAGTTATTATGTTCAATGTAATAATATAATTAGGCCTAATTTAGAGAAAATATTGGCTAATCAAGCAATTGAAATTAAAATCATTTACATTTGCATATGTATTTATCTGTACTTAATAAGTTATAATTAAGTTCACTTTTAGCTAATCCAGATGAGAAATCATTTCCTAGGAATAGAACTTTGAAATACTTTGTTATATTAGTTTTTTCTTTTAAATGAAAGCAGTCCATATTTAGCTGCTCCTTTGTAAAAGTATGCATCTGCAGGATGAGAGTAGGAAGACATAGAAGAATGGGTGGGTTATACTTTTAGGTGTATACTAATATGCTGATAATGTTTAAATAAAACAAATCTGTTTCTAGAAGTTACATTCCTAATCAGTTGGCCTTGTTTCTGTATGAATTAGTAAGTTAGCAGAAATGTCTTTAACCTATAAGAGAAGGATTTATTACTAGCCACCTGTAGTCCTTTTGTCCTTATGTCTGATGGGTGACTTGAAATTTTGTTTTCTTTAAACTGTTTCTGTTAGAATATGCAAGAGGCTGTTGGATATTTTGGCAAATTGCAATTTGTGTGGCCACCTACAGAAATGACACATGAAGCCATAGGAATAAGAAATATATGGTATGGAGGAACCATTTTAGAAAATTTGACTTTATATTTTGGTTGTAAGCCTAGCTTTTAATGGCTGAGCCATCTCTCCAGCCCCAAAATTTGACTTTAGAAAACAAAATTGGGTTGGGATATGCCTTCATGGTTGAGTGCTTGCCTGGTATGCATGCATCCTGGGTTTAGTCTCCAATACTGTAGTCACTCAATCAATCAAAATAATATTTTG